AATAAACACTGCTACTTCTCTCACTAATTTTTGTTATTTTTAAAATGTTTTTCAGAGCTGGAGAGATGGCTCAGTGGTTAAGACGAGCACTGGCTGCTCTTGCAGAGGATCTGGGTTTGATTCCCAGCACCCACACAGCAGCCAACAACCTTTAACTCTAGTTCCAGGGGAATTCTGACTATGGCACTGCACGACATGGGGGTACTTACATACATGCCAGCAACAGATTCATACTCATAAAAATAATAAAATAAGTTTTAAAATGTTTTTCCCAGGGCATGGTGGCGCACGCCTTTAATCCCAGCACTCAGGAGGCAGAGGCAGGCAGAGCTCTGTGAGTTCAAGGCCAGCCTGGTCTATATAGTGAGTTTCAGGACAGCTGGGGCTACAGGGAGACCCTGTCTCAAAAAGACCAAAAAAAAATGTTTTTCATTTAATATGTTTTCAAAAATAAACATATATTAACAGGTGGCTACTTTTACATAGAAAAACTCTTTGGAGTCTTTGATTTACAAGAGTATACAGTCTTAAGTTCAGCAAGTTTGAGAAAGACATATTTAATCTTTAAGATTAAATTGGTCCCATAACAACAAATAAGAAAACACACAGGTAACCCAAGGAGTCTCTGAACCCAGCCTCAGATACAAGTCTGTCTGTAATTCCTGGCCATTTTAACTCTGCCTCACCATGAAAACACAATACCATCCCTGGACAATTAAAGAGCATTCTTACATGATGATATGCTAATCTCTGTTTGAAAGGAAACATTCTATATTAGATTTATATTCTTTCTACTTCAGTCTTACAGAATAATATATGACTGCTATGGTATTTTAAATACATGGATTTTTTTTTTCAAATGAAACAACAAAACAAAATCCCACCACCATGAACACAAGAAGCACCCACTGAAGAAAGCCATTGCTAAGAGTATGGTGCCCAGTCACCCAGAATCTATTTTCACGTGCAGATATACGTGCATATTCTGATTAAAGTACATTCCCTAAATGGGATCACGTGGATTTAACAACTTGCCTAACTTCATTTAATAGCTCTTTAAGATTTTCCTGCATTTACAGTCAGATTTATTACTTTTTACAGATTACTATCATTAAGTGCACCCACTAGAAGTCCCCTATATGACTTCCTTCCAAATTTTTGCTATTACAAAAAACAATCACAAGAAGTATTTGACATACTTGTGTATGTATTGTGAAGTCATGGCTGTTGGGAAATTCCTAGAAGTAAAATTGCTGGGATAAAGAGTATAAACATTCAAAAGCGCAATAGATTTCTGTCAAATGTCTTCCAAATTTTTCATGCCCAATTAACATTTTCACCAACAGCATATGAGATTTCTTCCAACAATTCAGTTTTTAAGTGCCTTAGAAAATTGTGTTTCCATTGCTTCAAAATGACAAGTAGTAAAACTGTTTTCACTGGTCACCTTAATTTCCATCAGAATCATACACAAAGAAGATTCATCCATCATTGTTTTTAATTTCTACATTTTACTTAAATGTCTCAGAAGACAAAATATACACACATACACAAAATTCTCAGCTAGTAAACCTTCAAACATTAGGTACCTTGATAAAAAGTTATCCAAATTCTTTCAGAAGGCACAGTTCAGAGCTATACACTAAGGCTAGTCTCAAATGCTTAAATCAAAGGAGAGTTTTAAGATGTACCCATTATGTCCTATCTGTCCACTCAAAGGACTAAAGCCTACGAATAAAAAGCTATCAATTCATACCAGTGGACAAATTAGCTTTCATAAAATAAGCAACAGATTTCATATCATAAATGTCAATAGAACAGATTGTAATAGTAAGAATGGCTATCTATAATTGGAATGTTCACTGAAATTCAGATTCTACTAAAAAGGAAAACAATATTTTAAATGAAATGTTTTGAATTTATTTATTTTAGTCATATCAGACCAGTATAAATATTTGATAATAATAAGATATGGTCTTCTCTAGCAAGTAGATGGTCTGAAAATGCATCAGATCTGACCTGCTTATTCTTCATTAGCTAATGGATGTTCCAGGCTTCACGTTTCATCCAAATCTCTTTTTCTAGGACTATATACCAGTAGCTTTAAATTGTTTTTTGTTGTTGGTGTTGGTTTTTTGTTTTGTTTTGTTTTTGTTTTTGTTTTGTCTTTTTGAGACAGGGTCTCCTTGTAGCCCCAGCTATCCTGGTCACTATGTAGACCAGGCTGGCCTCGGGACTCACAAAGATCTGCCTGCCTCTGCCTCCCAAGTGCTGGGATTAAAGGTGCGCACTACCACACCTGGCCAGTAGCTTTAAACTGAAAGTCTCCCACATATCTTTGGGACAGAGTAAAACTTCATTAATTCAAATCCAATTAGCTCAATTCTGAAATGGTATATATAATTCTCATTTAGCAAGAAATTGAAATGCTACATTTTCTTCTTCTACAGATTCTCTTATTGGGAAGTAAAGGAAAGCAACCTTAAAATCAATTTGTTTTCATAAACCCAAAGATTTACAAAGCTAGGGACTCATCTATCTTTGTGGCTGAGCAGTTCATGATCAGTTCCTGGTTTCATGTTTATTAGTTACTGCATGTAATGAAGTGAGTTGGTCTGCCACTATTATTAGTTTATGAGTATGAGCATTTCTTTGAAACATACTGTACTCAGATATTTCTCAAATTCATTTTTGCCATTTCTCCCATGTCCAATGGGTCAAACTTGATCCCATCACATATATTCATCATATAGCAAAATATGGTATCTTAAGAGCTACTAGAAGTCTTAGAAATGCCTGGCAATCTTATTCTCCACTTACTATTACCATTTTGAAATATTTAGTAAGTCAAAATAAGTCCCAGGATTAAGTTGCCGGTTTGGTGTTGCTTGAACTTACAACTAACTATTCCCAATGGACAAGGAAACCTTCTCTTGCAATCTGAGTCATGTGTAATTACAGTATGACAAGGTCTCTCGTGGGCAAAATAGGCTGGCACTTTTCCCAGGACTTGTCACATCATGAGAACCACATACAAATAAAAATCCAAAAATAAATATTTTAAAACAATGGCCTATAGACTTCGTAAAGAAAACTCCACAGTTGAGAATATAAATTGTCTAATGAACAGAGGCCAGAGAAGACATCACTGTTATCAAGTGCTCGCCACACCTAGCAACTACTCCCAGGTGTGGCCTATGTGGGCAACATCCCCACATTCCCTCGGGCAGGACAGAAAATCATTATGAATCAAAAATAAAGAGAAATATCACTGCACACCCAGTGAAGCAGAGAAATGGTGGTAAAATAGAGAAGAGGGTGATCGTTTGAATTTCATAATATCAGTTTGATGACTGTCAAGGTGCCTAAACAAAGTTACTTCAAGAGAAACATTTTCTACTGAGTTAATTTTCTAGTACAATAAATTTTGTTTTGGTAAGTGCATTTCACCTTGAAGTGAAGCAGCCAAGTAGCAGTAACTATGTACCAAGGATGTCAGAAGGTGATGTCTTTTGTTTAAACTCCACTGCAATGGCTCTACAGACACATGGAAGAGGGAAGGATTCCAAGAACCATCATATCCAACTTCCTATGGACAGAACCTTGACAACACTCATTCTAATCACCACTTTGAGAAAATATGACATGTGGAATCTGCCTGTATTTTCAATGCAACCATGTACTGTTACTTCCCATATGCCACATATATTCATACCCCCTGTTAGAAGCTGGATACATTTATTAATCATTCAACAAAGCCCATCAAAATTTCAACTATGCAAGTTTTGAAGAGGAGCTATAAACCAAACCAGTAAGTGAACAAAAATAAACTCTTACTTCCCATTATATAAGTCCTGAAAACAAAAAAAAAGCACAAGCCCTGCCACCTCAAAGGTACACATCCTTTCTCCTTTCTTTATTCAGCCCCTGCATGTTCAATAAATTCCAGATAGCTCTAAGCAGAATGGGTTTATTATGATGTTACTCTAAGAAACTGCAGGAGTTCTAGATGCCAATAAAGATTACGCATCAAATGGAAGATAACTACTAACCATTATGTCGACTTAGATAAATAAACCTGTTCACAAACAAAGCACTTTATTGTACATCCACTGTTACCTCCACTAATCCAACTAAAACAACCAGACAGTAGCTTTCCAGAGCTTCTATTTCCAGGGAATAGAAACAAGGATTTCTCAAAGCCCCTTCAAATATATATAAATAACATCCCTTCCCTCTTCCTCAAAACTGTCCTGCTCTTTACTGAAAATGACTGCGACTACAGAGCAAGATTATGCAAACCAGACTCTATGACTAAGAACCAAGGTTGCAGAAGGGCAAGAAATAGGCAAAACAGCATCTTTCTCTGAAACAGCTTTCTACCTTTGAAGGAAACCCTCCCACTATGGATCCCAACCAGAAGACACTTCAGAACCTGGCTCAAAAATCTAAGGAGCAGTAAATTGCAATGTGGGGAGGGGAAAGAAGTCTCCAGACTAGCAAAATTCAGATTTAAGAGATGAAGTGGAGGCTAACTGCCAAAGGAAGAGTCTGCAGCCACTGGCATCCAGAGCCTCACGCTGAGGGTAAGGCAGAGAAGACCCCAAAGAGAATCCACTTCTCCAAATGGAATAACTACCTCTCAAGCACGCTTGGCTGACTGCACAGGTAAATCTCCAGTTCTCCGGGAGAGAGAGAGAAAAAAAAAAAAAAAAAAAAAGGCGCAAACTGTTTATTCCCTGCAGCCCCAACACCCCAAACCTCACTAACCACCCTCCCCAAAGGACCCGAGGCAACCCCAAAGGACAGGTGAGGAGCACCGGCTTGGGATGAACACTACACCTGATGGTCCCTTCTCTGCGGTGCCTAGCCTGAAGCCCCAGTAATCGGGCCCCGGGGTTCAGAGCGCAGCGGGGAGGGAGGGGGAGCGGGCCGAGCCAAGGCCAGGCGATTGTCTCCTCTCGAGCCGAGACATTTTCTCTTTTGTACTCGAGCCCTACCTCTTTTTGGCCTGGGAAAGCTTTCGTGCAAGTGGAAGACGACTTTCTCCACAAAGTGCTGGATGTTGCTGTGCTCCGGGCCGCGCACGAACACCATCCAGTCGTGAGTGAAGCCCTCCACCGTGGGTTTCTTCCTCACCTGGGCGCGGTGCCCCAGCTCCAGCTTCACCTGCACGGCACACTGCGGGGGGGGGGGGGGGGGGGGGGGAAGAGAGCCGTGAACAACAGGAAGGCGGTCGTTCTGCCCAGCGCCGCGCCTGACATTTTTTGCCTCCTGGAAACGCACATAAAAGGAAAACGCCAGTGCCCTTTGCATCCACGTTGCACGCGCGTGGGCGCGCACGCCCCACACTCCGGGACACGGCGGGCCAGGGTGGCGGCACAGTGGCTGGGATTGTAACGGAATGTTTCCCCGGATCGCTACGGGGGTCGGGGAAGCACGGTGGCCACCGCGAGCAAACGCAATGGCAAGGATCCGGAGGGGATGCGGCGGTGCCGCGGCGTGCGAAAACACTGCCGTGAAGCTGGGGGTCCCGGCGAGCCCCCTCTCGGAAAGTGCGGCGGCCACAGGCACACGCCGAGGAAGTCTTTGTGTACGTGTGAGTGTGCGTGCGTGAGAGCGCGATGCCAGGCGGAATGGAAACTACAGCCACTGTGGATCGGCAAACTCCCATGCTTTCTTACTACGGGCTTCGTGCACCCCGGAACGAGACGTCGTTACCCCTACTCACACGGTCACACGGAAACACACCGAGGCATCCAGAACTTAAAGCACCCCGCACCCCCACAACACACTTTCA